AGTCCATCTTAAGTGGTTTATGGGTTGTACCGTTTTACCCTGACCACATCATGTCCTGGTATAATCGGGAGTACAAGTATTCGTTGATTCAGAAATTTGCCCTGAATGTTCTTAAGCAGGGCGTGCTTCCAAAACATGTTGCTTTTATTATGGATGGCAATCGTAGGTTCGCAGCCAACCGAGGACTACAAAAATCAGAAGGCCATCGGTCCGGTTTTTCAAAACTAACAGAGGTAACAGTCATTTAAGCTCATTTGTCTTCAGACAATCACATGGTGCCATGATTTAGGAATAAATGAAGTATCTGTATACGCATTTAGTATTGAAAACTTTAAACGGCCAGAATCAGAAGTCAATTTCTTAATGAACCTGGCCGCCGAAAAATTCCGGGAATTCATTGACAAAAAGTAAGCCTAAATTTATGTCCATTTAATTTTATGGATTTATATGTCCACATTCTCTATACGAGCATGCTTTCGCATTTGGCGAAGATTTTACGTTCTAACCTCCCTTATACACAAATAAACACAGTCCAAAAACAGTGCGCTAACCAGATACTAATAGAGACGGTGTACAGCGGAGCTTAACTGACATAACTCACTCTCTACTAGTACAGTTAAACTGCTCGGTGAACCCAAAGTACAGGAATCCTTATAATTATTGCATGTAATATTAATCAACACCGTCTGCCCATAACTTGTCTGCGATCTTTCTATTCGCAATTTTTTAAATTGGCACCGTCTACCCTGATCCGTATAAAAGGCAGAGCCCCTAACATGTTTTAAGCCATTGATATCCTCTGACTATGAAGGTTACTCAATCGTGCATTATACTATAACATCAGCAGCCACCGATACAGCTAGATCCCAGACAGAGTCTCGTGCTCAGTAAGAAGGCTGACTTTGTGAAGTAACCGTAATTGATAATTCCTGAGTGTTAGGGTTTCTTATACTGGCGACACAGAGCCTTATTTTGGAAGCGTGTGTAAACTACACTGGACATTATTGACCTTCTTTTCGTTTCACGGCTGAATTTGGTCGGCATGGTTTTGCAAGCAGTGGGAAGGATCGAGTTAAATGTGCTTGTCGCGGGAACCGACATCACGGGTTTACTATTGGCGTATCATAGCTGTATTAAGTATATAATTTATTCACGAATAGAGATGAAGATCTGATTTCGACGTCTTTAGATCGCTGGAAACAACAGTTCATCTTTATGATGTTTTAAACTAATGCACGAGTCCGTAGTTAGAACTAGCAGAGCAGATATGAGTTATATGGCACTCCAACCAATCCACGATCACTTTCGCGTGTACGCAAAGTAGCCTTCCTAGATTGATGTCGCTCTTGACTGTAATGTCAAACCAAAATCGTTCTGAAGTATTTAATCGATCTTATTTAAGCACACTTTTACTGTTTTGTATGCCTAGTCGTGTTTCTTTAGCACAAATATTCATTTAGTCAGAATCGTGATCGGTCAGCTAACGCACAATCAAGAACTAGTTGTCCTCCTTGGTCGACTACCTAGGTAACATGACCTTGTGTCGGTCGTAGATGGTCATCTGGAAGTTTGGCTTCGTTCTTTGAGATCCGTTTCTGCTACTGTGTTCTGCTAATGTCTCTGATGATGAATCCGCCACGAATTTCGAAGCGTCAGACGAATAAACGTATTGTCCCATCGATCGAGTCGTCTTCTTCTCAGTTTGGCTTCGTTTTAGCCCATTCTAGCCAGTTACGGTGCCGGTGAATCCGATTTAAGAAATATACAGGTGAAGGTAGTGACATCTGACATCGCGTGCCATTCCCAACGTTCGTCCTTACGTTTCATGGGCCATTTGGAATGTATTCAACTGGTATCTTGTAGAAGTTCTACCCCCTAATACATAATCTTCTGGATATTCTACTGCACCCGGCTCACTGATTTCGCTTGTAGATGCTCATTGTCCTTTTTGTCTTTCTTGTCTCTGTACACAGTGATGAGCTTACTGAACACGGTGTGTGTGTCCGAGTTATTGGCAACCTCTCATTGCTTCCCCCGGAAGTGCGTCGTCTCGCAGCGCAGGTCATGTTGTTGACAAGGCACAACACAAAGTAAGCAACTGCTATTCAGTATTTGCATCTCTGTTCAGTAATGATATGCCATCGCGTTCTTTTAGCTTGTCTCCCCTTCATAAAACGCCAGCTCATGTGCCTTACTATAAATCACAGTCAGATACATGCCGTCTATATTCACACCAAATTAAAATCACCCCACTCCGCCAGTCCTTCTTGTCTTTGCCGAAAATCTCGACTACCCCAAAATTAGAATGCTCTTTAAACCTATTTCTTTAGTCTTGTTGTTCTTCAAATGCCCCACTACTGTTTCAGAGCTACGCTAAACATTCTCCTGGCCTACACGACCCGCGATGAATTGACGCATGCTGTTGAGTCCATCCGTCTTGGCGTCCAGGAAGGTGTCATCCGCGAAGAGTAAGTTTGTGTTTTTTGTTGTACTCTTTCATTCCTCCTTTCAAATAGTGCAACCGAATTCAATTATATATTTTTCTTCCACCGTACTTCACCTTTTCGGTATAATCCCACATTGTACGCATGTTTTCTTGCTTTCCAGGATTTTAGGTAAAGAGCCTTCATATTTTTTTGATTTCTAAGGCGACATAAGACTTAAAAGACACGGGCACTTTACGCCGGACATATACTGCTGCCGTTTTCTTTCAGGTACGATAGCTTGTCCTTAAGTAAAACAGCATTTTCTAATCAATCTGTAGTAAATGCTTGTATTTGAATCGCTTGCTGATCACGTTAAAAGTTATTGAAATATATCTTTCCTGTTGTATTAAAATAAAAGCGGACAGTAGGTGTCAGTGTAGAGACAAACCAATAAGTGGTTAATGGTAATTCTGATGTTTTCCCAAGGTTATTTTGGCAGGTGAGTCGATGGAACTCCGCTTCCGATTCTGGTAGCAAAGGACACATATGTGCACAAGTATGCTCGAATCATTCAATATACATCTAACGGGGTATAAAAGCACCGTAGAAACTAGGCCAAAAGCTTCACCACTTTTCAACTTCACCCTTATTCCTGTTTGAGAAGTCAGACAGATCAGCGTGTATATAAAATTTCGTCTGAGACATGTTTGCCATCTAAGCAGACTAGCAAGCATTTGTAGGGGTTCGCGCGTCCTTGGCTGCTGTCATACATGCTCAAGGAGCGCCCTAAATGGCGGCCACTGCACTCCATCTCCACCAGTTTTCTAACGGGGCTTGGAAAGTCGACTGATACGTGTGGGAAGGGGGGGGGAGGGTGGTTAAAACCGGATAATCCATTCCAATGCTAAATAAACGCGTTTCGGCACCGATCTTCCATAAGTAACACCACAGTAACGGAAAATTCTACGTTCGTGCAACACTGGATCAGTCGTAAAAAGGGTTAAATAATAGATTGAAGCGGGGAAAGAAAAAAATAATAAAAAATTACAGCACATGAAAGTAAAAAATAATAGAAACAATTATTTAAATAAAATAACTTTTGGCGCGTGATAAATAAAATGAGAAATACAACAAACGGGGCACAAGAAGTCCGCACCGTAAGCCTGACTTCCTCTCAGGACCGTTAAGGCCAGTGGCATAGTCAGCCCTACTCACTCCATCATCAGAAGCACTTGAACAAGTCAGAACACCAGACCTATCCCCGCATTCGTTTGAATGAAAGAGAGAGAGAGAGTATGCTTTATTTTTGATGGGAATACCCAAAAACTTTCAGCGAAAAATGGCTCCATTCACGGTGAGCAAGGGATAAGGTAAGTAAGAGGTCATGGTTAAAGGTCATAGAATGCTCAAAATTAAAGGTTTACACGATATCAACATCCATTATGGAGACAGGTCGGCTTTCAACTTCGCAATTTCCGCTTCTTTACAGGCGAGGTAGCGTGGTAGGAATGGGAGTACAGAGTGCTGCTATGCCGATGTACAGCAAGACATATGACGGAAGGCTCGGCGCATAGTTCGGGAAACTTAGCAGCCATTAGTTCAGAGTGGAGAGGATGATTGACCTCACGAAGGATGCGATCAGCAAATTGCTTGATCGTTTTAAAATGTCGCTGTATTATAATGTCAGCTAAAAAAACCTAGGAAACACCGGCAGCTGAAGAGAGCATTCGGAGGATACGTTTAGACCAGGTCTTTTTTAAGTAAAGCTAGAAAAATAACTGAAGAGCAGTAAAGGATGAGAAGGAGAATACAGGCATCTATAAATCGCCAGATAAGGGCTTGCGGTGTGCGATATGAACGCA